TCCAATCACCTTCAATGTTTGAATGTTTGTCATGCGAGTTGCGCCTGTTGTACGTTGAACAATGCTGCAAGACTGCAATACGCTGACCCGTAGCTTAAAGATAGGGAGTGAAGTGGTAGAGCATATAAATTACTTCACTTATTGGGGAATTTGTATCCACTCCCAGTGTAATGGCTGTTGACAAAATCTAGACACGGATACAAGGGTTTTTGTAGCATTTTCCAACCTATGGCATCTCTGGTGTAGATATGATATCCATCCTGACCACCATTAAAGAGACGTGTTTACTGCGCAAGGCCACTTTGCTTGGTCCTCCCTTTTCGCTGTGACAAATGGCCACTGAAAATGGAAGTTATGAAAATACTAGCTTTCTTTGACCATAGGTATCCACATTCACTCTCGCCTATTCATTTGTAAAATATGGTGAGTACTTTTGAGGCTAGGCACAAGGCGTCAGGCTGCAAACATGAATCCACTGAGATGACCAGGACCCGTGCTACTCACGACCAGCCATCTCCTTCCTCGACGAGCAGTGTCAGCTGACATTGGATAAAGTCGAAAGACAGTTAGATTTTGGTCAAACTAAGACTCGACATTATTTCCTAAGATCTTTGATCGTTACTTTGAGCTATGTAGGCAGATAATAGCTGGCAAACTCAGGTATTCCGGATGCTAAGAACCAACAGCTGGAAACATTTGCTGATACGTCTCCAAGTCCTTCTCAATGGCGCAGATCCATTCACTTAATGTAATCGTCCCTATCCATTAAAACATCATGTCTTTGCCCACTAGTATTGTTTCTTCCTTGAATTCCTACTTATTATTGGCCTTTTCTCTCTCTTTCCTCTCGTTTTGCGGGCTACATGGAGTTTGGCGACCTGAAGTCATGCAATTATGTGAGAAATTCTATTTTGAAATCCACCATCCCTTCCTACAACATAGGTCGGAATATTAATCTACGACAATGTTAAAATTCTATTCGGAATCCCATATTTTCCTTGTTTATCCCGAGAGCTCGACTAACTTCAGCTCTGAAGTCCTGTGTTGATCAGGCACCTACAGAATGCTCTTGTAAACATTCTTTATTACATTTCCTAGACAAACTAATCACGAGAAATGGATGTACTAACAGTATTCAAAGTAAGAAATTTTTAAATTCAGAATATTTCCAGTTGCTTCAGTGCCAGAGAACTCTCCACCCCCCTAGGATGACAAGCAGTGTCAGACATGACAGGCAGATCGTTTCAGAATACAAGCTACAGCTGATTTAACATGCCTTTTCTTGGGTATTCACGTTGTTCACTTCAATGTCAAGCAACAAACACGAAAATTCGATTGTGCAGAATAGCTTCAAAATTGAATTATAACATTCACTCTTGAAATCTTAAAGCATGTTGAAGTGTACAGCACAGTTTTATCATCTAAATTGTTCGTCACGTTACACACCTGAAAAATGCATGCTTATCGACAATTATTTTGCATTTCACTGATCCAATATGTAACTTTTATATTTCCAAATAAAATGATAATCAGAGGCTAATCACCACGTTTTTGTTACAAAATACTAACTGAGTTCTAATGGGAAGTCGTGACCAGCGGACAAATGATGTGACAAATTTGTGAGGACGAATGCTCGCCAGTGATGGCATAGGCCAGTAGCCGCATCATATCATGAATTGGCAGAAGTTTGAGTTCATGCACTGGTCATTAGATCGGGTCCCAGTGGCTTAGTAGTCTACGAGCTACCCTTGCAACCAGAATGTCCTAGGTTCGAACCCCTGTGGTAGGTACTCACTGATGAAGAGTCTCAAACTATTCTACCGAAACAACTGTCCAGTACTCTCACGTTTTCGTATGGTCCTGTAAACAACTTCAGTTTACGATGAAATCCCTGCAAACCAAGACTCGAGTGACTATTTTTTAAATTAGATTACGTTGGTTACAGGACCGCGTTCATCACAAAGTTAGACAGTTCGATGGAAGCGAGAGGAACACACAACGTCGTGAAAAAAACAATAACAAAGCTTAACCTTGAGAAAATCACCAGCCAATCATGGTGGAGTTAACATGCGGGAATATGATTCGCAGGTATATGGCTCGGTTTTCTGAGAAACGGCCACACAGAGATAACAGAATAACATCCAACAATAAAACAACCAATCAGAAGAGGCTGCTTCTACGCTAACAATAATCTACATAGAAATCTATAAATATCTCTTGATTTTCTCAAAAAACAATCTGTTGGCTGGACTTTGTCTACTGCTTCTTAGTGTGACGGGGCTACTTCTGAGGCTCGAGTCCAGCATCCTTCCAGATGAACGACAAAACGTTATCCAGAGCGCTAACAGGATCATTAGCCATGACTAACAAAGGGCTAACTCGTTCGTTTCAGACGTGTTAATGGAAATACATAGTTTTTTCATGATGTCTGAAAGCAAACAAAATGATTCTCACTACCTTTTTTCAGAGGAAACGTGAAATATAGACTCACCCATTTCTAGATACAACTACCAACATAACTTGATCAGGTAGAAAGATGACTCGTTAAAGATGTTTCACATACTGAGCTTAGTGAGAACCAGAGAAAAATGGAGCGCTTTTTACGCTATTTTTGAGTAGTCTTCAGTAACGTACACATATGACTTCGTTTACGATTTGTCGATTATCACCTGCTGTTGTTCATTCCCTTAAAAATGAACTTATAATAGAGTTTCCTCAGATCTTAAATTAGCAGATTAATCTGCAATTTACACAGGTCGAAGTAAAACTTCGCCTTACTCAGATCAGAATGGATAATCTCCTCGACACCGTAAGTATTAATCAAGAAACCAAGCAAAGACGCCTCACTCTATGGGCTGCTGATCGACCGAGATACGTAGCTGTACACTACTTGACTCAACCAGTAGTACTTGTGATATGTATCCATATGATGTCTGTGTTTTGGTTTTGACAGTCTGTTATATTTTTCTATGTATATATGGATCGATATTCCATTATAATTGACAATATGTTTTTGTCTGCCCACTAACTAAACAAACATGTCTGACCTTGTTGTCACATGACATTACAACAAATCATGTTAAGACTGTTTATTGATTCGTTCATTTCTGAACATTCACTCATACACTTGTGTGACATTGATTTTCTTTGTTGTTTGAAAAATACAAGTATCATCGTGAACCTGGTGGTTTTCTGAATTCCGCCATCTTGCGTCAGGACTATTAATTACTCGACCAGTACACAACAACTTGCAAGCCAAATGGAATCGATCTTAAAACAGTAGACAAACATTTCCCCTGGTTAGCGTCTACCTAATTACCAATGTACTCATTTTGACTTTTATTGCGGTTGTGTGATACAGACAATGTATGCCAAAGGAATGTTATTCTCACAGGTTCACACTGTTCAATACTGCATTGGCAACAGAATACAATATATCTATTTCAACATTCTATTTCATGTTGTTTAGTGTGGACCGAAATCACATTCTCAATGATTGGTTGGCGAATATAAACTGTAGATATATATAAACAGCGATTTGATTAATGAAAAATTTACTTTAGCTCCCGGTTCTTGCATTCTGTTTTTACATTTGGTATTGCTGCCTGCCGACAGATTGAAAGCCTATATCCTGCAGTTTGTGATGGAGACATATGGATCTTCTGGCAGAATTTCGAAGCTGTTGCGCAGATGGGAAGTGTTCAAGATCCGTCAGCGATGAGACTGTTACTTGGAACGTTGCCGGGAGGTCGGACGATGGTAGTATATGATAGTGTCAGACGAAACACCGGCGGAAACTAGCTAGGGTCATGCAAACTGCACCCAAAGTGAGACGGAACATACGTGTTCACTATGAGACGTGGTCTGGTATATACGACCAAAAATGCCAACAGAGAGAAGTCAGAGAGCTCCGGAACTCAACAGAGCAAGATAAGCTAACAAATCTATCAGCAGCAAAAAGATTAAACCAACTTAAGTCGAAAGTTCTTGATTGCGCAACGAGTGTGATGGTCTGATACAGACAATGTGTGTCAACAGAGTGTTATTCTCATATATATATATATATATATATATATATATATAACGGTTTAGTAATTGAAAAATATACCTTGGCTTCCGAGTCCTGACTTCTGTTGTCACAAAAGAGCTCAGATAACCGAATCAATTCAAATCACCCGATTACTATCAAACTATTTGTGGGGAAGGATAAATCAAATTCATCATGTGCAAATGAATTCGCAACCTCAAGTGTTAATCAAAAAATCAAGCAAAAACACATCACTCTGTACACTGTTGTTAGATGGAGACAAGCAGTTATATGGTGAGATCTGTCTGCAAGCCAAAATTGTAGACAATAATTTACTTCAGTCTTTACGTCCCAAAGCGAGGTCACGAGATAAAACAATAACAAAGCCTAACCATGAGGAATTCAACAACCAATCACAGCTGACTTAACGTGTGCAAATATGATTCACAGATATATGGTCTGAACTCCAAAGAAATGGCCACAATGAGATGACAGAATAACTTTCAACAAGAAAACAACCAATCGGAAGGCACTGCTTCCCTGGTGATAATAAAGAATTATTATGTAATGACCTATGATTTCATATATAAATGAACCCTAGAACCTCATGTAAGTCAGAGGCACAGTGGTTATGACTCTAGCCGATCAAGCACATGGTTTGGGGTTCGACCCCCTGCCAACGCATACCTAATATCTATGTTCGGCCTGCAAAATTTGGGCTACCGATATCACATGCTAAAAATTCCATACCGGTACCAAAAAATACAGTGTGGAATCAAACTGTAATCAAAAAATGATGTTACCACCTACCCCCCACTAGGTAGTCTTTCAATATCTCACTATTCTCAGTATCTAACGTCCCTGTAAACTAGAAATTGGAAAACGACACCGAATTACCTTTTCCAAGTTCCTTCGTAAAGTACTCAACACGCCAATTCGACGAATCAATAAATCGATTAACAATGAATGCATATTTATATGTATATATCTTTATTTCTCCTTTAATGACAGACAACATAGCCAATAGATTCAAAGCAGAATAGAATTACACATAAGTTCATGACATAATATAGAGTAAAAAGCACAAATCGAATGGAACACAAACACGCACACATACACAGACACCCACAATCACACACATACACATACACCAACACAAGTATAGGCAAGGTATTATTGTGCAAATAAGGAACTAATCAACCAGAAAAACAAACACATATCAAAGATAAGGAGTAATTAGAGTGATGATTAGAATCGGTTCTGCTTTTTGGTTTATTCCTCAAGAGGACAATAGATGTGAATGGACAAGTAAATAGGTAGACGGATAGATAGATGGATGATAGATATACATTGATATAAAGTTTCTCCAAAGAAACCAATCACAAATAATATTCCCTTCACAATAAAACTTACTCATAATGACTAAATATACTGTGAGCATTATGTGTTTGAGGTGTATAATTAATTAATCAATAAATAAATATATATATTTATATGACACATATAGGTCCTTTTTAAAATCTTATGTCATCAGTCAGTGTGCTTTAACAATGCAAATTATGAAGAGACTTCATTATGACTGACAGTCTCAAAGAAGTGTTGAACATTTCGTTGAATTGTCTTGACCATATCTGAAAGGAGAAGGAAATAAAAAATAGAGTGCTGGAAATTAAGTCTGTATTTGAATGTGAAGAAGTCAATAAAAATTCCCAATCTCATTGACACTAAAATGAAGAGAGAGAGAGAGAGAGCATTGGGCATCTTTATCGTCTCTTTAAAAATTTTCAACCCATGAACACATCAGGAAACGAAAGGATGAATTACAAGAATCCAGTTTAATGGAGTAGGTTATTTCCTTCAGAATCATCAAGGTTCGGCTCCTTGACAGAGTTATCTGATAGTATACAATGCTCCCTGATTTTGAATGGTTTTTTTAAAATGATGCAGTTGATGTTAGTGGAATGCTTGCAGAGATAACGTCGGAAAATCTAGCATCGCCCAGTACTGGATACCAAAAAAATAGGTAATCAGTAAACTGCCGCACTAACCATTAATTCTCCTAGATATAATTTCGAACTTACTCATAAGAAAAAGACCCCATATTAGGTTAATCACAGATTGTTATCACTTAGAGAATAATTGAGAACCAGAGAGTGCTGAACAACTGTTTCATTTTTGTATGTAGTAGGTGGGGATATTCAGCCTTATGCAACTTTGATCCCATTGGGAATCGAACCCGGGAAAATTTTAGGTTAGAAGACGAACCCGTCTACTATTCAGCCACTGGGACACGTACCTAATAACCTCAGGGTCCTAAGTATGAAATCCGGTGGGGTTATGTGTGCAAAACAGATATCTAGTACTCCCATGTTCTCTGGATAATTATAATCAGTGATTAAACTAGAAGCAAATCCAGTCCCTCCAAACTGTCTCTTGAAACTCGCTAAGCAATTGTTTCCTTATGAAAAAAAATTAAATTCCAAAAATTGAAATGCATATTTGGGAATTTTATTTATTGCAGAGATTTGCATAGTTTATTTAGCATAGTATACAAACAAGTGATTACCTGTACACGATAAGTTTCATATGAAGTTAAACGCGTTAAACTTAGTTTGATAACTTTACCTTATCGTTGGTATATACCACTGATTTATATTTAGTAGACACAGACCTTTCACATTAAGCAACAGGGCTTCTCAGACATATGGAAGCGTACTGATGCAGAATCCCTAAAAATAGGACGAAACAGCTGTTCAGTACTCCGTGTTGTTGTTTTCCAATGTTTCTCTAACCGATATCAGCTCATGATGAAATATTCCAATCAATCAAGCAAAAAATTTCTACAATACCAATAGTCGACTTTGACGTGAAGACAGGAGTAGGATCAGCTGCCTGGCTATCTACTATCTACAATGATTGTTATGACTGCGGTAGACTAGGTAATGTGACAGACAGACAGCGGGCAACGAGGAGACTGGCACAAATGGACTTGTCAGTGATGTTTGTTCAATTTCCCACAAGCTAGAAGATATCCAACTGAAAAGCAACAAGTTGGCAGAAGAAGCATCAATGGAAGATAGGACTTCAGGTGAACATATAGAAGAGAGGGGGGTGATGAAGATTCCGGGCCAACAGCAACAGCAACAACAGCAGACAAAAATCAGACTGCATGAATGGGAGAAATCTGAAAGGAGTAACCTCCTCTGCCTACCTACCTACCTACCTGGGAAGCATCGTTCCAACTACGGGTGGACAAAACTGATGAGGATATCAAAGTAAGAGTCGGAAAAGCAATGCAAGCTTTCATTACCCTCAAGTCTGTGTGGAGATCACCATCACTCACCATGAATAACAAGATTAGGATTTTCAAATCCAATGTTAAGTCAGTGTTGCTATATGGATCAGAGACTTGGCCAGCGCGTCATAAACAGCAACTCAAACAAACTACAGACACGCACCAACAGCTAACTTTCTTCGCTCAATAATACTCAAGATCAATGGCCGGCCAGAAAAGATCAATGACCAGGGATCTCTGTCAGTGAACGAACCAACCCAGCAGGAACCGATTGTGCCACAAATATGTAGGAAGAAATGGAGGTGAATTGGTCATACTCTGAAAAAACACAAACCATCAAGTGAGTGACATCACACACCAGGTGATCGCTCGAATGGGACCCGAAAGGGAAGCGTTGAATTTGTCGTCAGTGTGAGGGTGAAATGGTGAAGGTGATATGAACTGGAGATGAAATCACGTGGGTAGATGTAGAGTCATGTGAAAATGTTGTCAGAGAACGAACCCAGTGGCAACGTGCGGCTGAATCCCTATGTACCTCTAGGAACTAAAAGAAACAATAATAATATTAATAATTCCAGTTGTTGAAAAATGATCTAAAGACTGTATCGTCGCTTCTCTCGTTTGAACACCTATTTTATAATAAACATAATTATTTACGTTCACAGTGGAATATACAATTTCAAGTTTTGAAGTTACCGTGGTAGTGTTATTGCAATCCGGATCACATTACACAAGGAGTCTGACACGAAAATATCTTCTCTAGACAATCAATAACAGGACATGCGTGAATAAGGTGCATCACTAAAAATATCCATCTATCGAAAGCCAGTATGGAACGGACAACTCACCAACTTTCATAGTTAGGTACCTCTCTACATACAAAACTAAACTTGGTCCGTTCACTTATCCAATGAATCCACAGAATCTGCAGCCCTGACACAATAGAAGAGTAGCTGAAGAGTCTGAAAAGAATCCTCCTTGAAAATGATTACCCAGAAAGATTCATCACAAAATTTATGAAGCCTGAACCACTAAAATTGCCTACACTGTCTACTTGAATCTGCATTTCAATGAAGACTCATTGGCAGAAATACTCAAAAACCACCAGTCATGCTAATTGAATAAAACCTTCTTCGTCGGTTAAATTCAAATAATTTTCTCTACGTAACGTGAAGGATAAGCTACAACTACTGGCCTCATCAATGTGCATCTATTAATTCACCTGCTTGTGTAGAGCTACGTATGTCGGTCGTACCCTAACGTATCATCCAACATTTACCCTCGTAGATTTTTTAAAGGAGAAGAAAGATCCCTACTCAACCGTAGCTTAGAACATCTCATCTAATCTGAACATCAAACTAACCCACAAAAGAGCTTTAAAGTCCATCTACAGAATACTCAGGAATCTCGCTAAAAGAGTACGAATCAGACATCTTCCTGAAAACTGCATACGGAAGACGTTTGTTTGATCACTAAGCCTAAAATGGATATAATCTGTCTTAACGTCGAATATGTACTTTATTATTTCATGATTGTGTTCTTTTTGTACCAACCTCCCTCCCTTTTAAATTTAAATACCTTATTACCAATGTTGTTAACTTCACTCTCATTCAATGTTATTTTTATTATTGTATCCTTAGTTCCTAGAGGAACATAGGGCTTCAGCTGCGCACCTCCATTGCCTTCGTTTTCTGACAAATTAGTCGAGTTCTACTCAACCTTGTCAATTATACCACGTCAATCAATTCACTTATTTAGTTCCACTTTGGTTTCTAGCCGATTAACTCCTTCTACATTACGTAATTCATTATCAGCAATCTACAATTCTAATGACACATCATTGGAAATATTCATTTCCAAGCTTTAGCTTAAGCTTTGTAGAGAATTATGTTTGATTGGCTGGGGGATTTCATCATTCGATCTGACATTCGTTAGAGAGCCATTAGAAAACCAGTCATGGAGTACTGGGCAACTGTTTGGGGAGGCCTAATTTAGGACTTTTCATCAGTAAGCACCCATCAGGGTTCATTGGCCACTGAATCAGATCCCAGTGGCTTAATGGTCTACGAGATGGCTGGTTTCAATCCCCTCGTCGTGGGTGAGTACTACTGAAGAGTCCCAAACTAGGCTAACGAAACAGGTGGCTGTTCACCACTCCCAGCTGGTTTTTTTTGATAGTTCTCTAACCGATGTCAGCTTACGATGAAATCCTCCAACTAATATTCATTTTCAAGTATTGGTTTGTAGAGATTTGATTGGTTTCAGGATTTCATCATGAGCTGACATCATTAAGAGAACCATTGGAAAACCTGGGAGTACTGGACAGATGTTTCGTCCTAGTTTGGGACTCTTCATCAGTACGCACCCACCGGGATTAGAACCCAGGACCTTCCGGTTACAAGGCGAGCTCGTATACCAACACTTAAATACCAATGAGATGCTCACTTGCGACTGGTCCTATTCAGGTAGGTAGTTACCTGGGTTCCAGAAGGAAGTCGTTACCAGTAGGGTGCAGCAGGTCGGGTGTAAGGACAAATACTCGCCGAAGACATTGGCTAGCGGTCGCGCTATGTCGTGAATTGGCAGAAGTTAGAATTCAAGGACCATTGGATCGGGTCCCAGTGGCTTAATGGTATACGAGCTCGCCTTGTAACCGGAAGGTCCTTGGTTCGAATCCCGGTGGGTGCGTACTGCTGAAGAGTCCCAAACTAGGACGAAACAGCTATCCAGTACTCCTAGGTTTTCCAATGGTTCTCTAACTAATGTCAGCTCATGAAGAAATATTCATTTTGTTGCTAAGATAGTTTACTATGTATATATGCGACTGTACGGTCTGAGAATTATATCTCTGAGAAGAGTGACTCTTCGAATCTCAGTAGGGACGTGGGTCCCTTCAAGGCTTAAGATATGCCTTGCTGGCAGGTGAGTGCCAACTAGCACGAAAATTAGGTCTAGCGAAGGCTTCTTGTGGCTGATCGCCTTCAACTATCTAATATTATTAAAAGGGTGACTCTTCGCTAAACGTATTTTCCTTTACACTGGTGACATTATTTATACAGTGTGGGGGAGGGGGCTATAGCCTCATGCTCTACAACTGCTCAGTTTCAGATATCCCACTGGCTAGTAAACTAGTTGCAATGTTTAGAAGTTTGCCAGCTGGGAATCGATGAACAATCTACCAGTCAAATGATACCGAAATTTTCAACAATCACAACAACAAGACAGTCAATTGTTCATTAAAACTATTCAAAATTATTTTCATTTTTTGTTAAAATTGCATCTTTCTTGATTAACAAATGATTCCCAGTAGTGATTCTGATGTGGTTTATGATTTAA